TTGTCATATTTATTAGTTTTGTTTGTCAACATAGTTGTATGAAATTTTAGTTGTAGTATAGTTACTTTTAGTTGTTTTAGTGCTTTAACCATTTGAAACATTTATCCATTGCCTATAAACCTAAAAATGGCTTTTTAACCTTTCAAAGAAGGCTTTGTGAAATCACAGAGAGAGAGAAAATACATTCAAAATCCAATTGCAATTCTGCATCATTTCAAATTCAACTCAAACTCTGAAGATGAGGCACAGTCCAGCTGATTTAATTGCTTAAATCAAAGGTTTAATCGTCACGTTTTTGTGCTCTGTAATTTCAGAAAGATATATTGACCGTGTTTTATGGTCTTGAATGAATGAACAGACACACACACATATAAATAAATTCAAACAGCACTGGTTACTGCATTATACACATCATCCTAGTCTCATAGCGTCTCCTCTTGTGTCAGCCTTGTCTCACAGTGTCTGCTCTGGTCCCATTCTTGTCTCAGAGCATCTCCTCTGGTTTCACCCTTGTCTCACAGCATCTCCTCTGGTCTCAGCCTCGTGTCAGAGTGTCTCCTCTGGTCTCACCCTCATCTCAGAGTGTCTCCTCTGGTCTCACCCTCGTCTCAGAGCGTCTCCTCTGGTCTCACCCTTGTCTCACAGCATCTCCTCTGGTCTCAGCCTCGTGTCAGAGTGTCTCCTCTGGTCTCACCCTCATCTCGCAGTGTCTCATCAGGTATCAGAGCATCTCCTCTGGTCTCATCAGTGTCTCCTCTGGTCTCATCCTCATCTCACAGTGTCTCATCAGGTATCAGAGCATCTCCTCTGGTCTCATCAGTGTCTCCTCTGGTCTCATTCTCATCTCACAGTGTCTCATCAGGTCTCAGAGCATCTCCTCTGGTCTCATCAGTGTCTCCTCTGGTCTCATTCTCATCTCACAGTGTCTCATCAGGTCTCAGAGCATCTCCTCTGGTCTCATCAGTGTCTCCTCTGGTGTCATCCTCGTCTCACAGTTTCTCCTCTGGACTCATCCTAGTCTCAGAGTGTCTCCTCTGGTGTCATCCTCATGTCAGAGTGTCTCCTCTGGTCGCATCCTCGTCTCACAGCATCTCCTCTGGTCTCCTGGTCGCATCACAGCATCTCCTCTGGTCTCATCCTCATCTCACAGCATCTCCTCTGGTCTCATCCTCATCTCACAGTATCACAGTATCA